CACATCACAGATTGTTGGAGTTCAGGAGGAGAGTAACAGACTCATTACAGTGTGTTCAGGTACTGGGAGGTCCTACAGTGGATATAAAGCCTTCAGTGTCTCCAGATGGAGCTACACAAAGTCTGATAAATGTCCTCAAGTGATGTCACTTGAGTCAGCGTCAGTTAGAAAGTGAAAGAAATGAAACAAATGTGTTGAAGTTATCTTACCAGACCTCAGGAGTGCTGCTGCCACTAGCATAACACACCTGTCCTCTCCCAACAATTCTTCTTCTTATTATTTCTTTGGAGTTTAATGGCTTGTATATGCGTTACCGCCACCTGTTGGACTGGAGTGTGGAGCAGCAGATTGGCAGGTAGATTCACCAATGTAATAGTGGGACATCAAGTTGCATTGTGGGTAATGAGTTTTTCTTGACACTGTAGGACAGCACTCTTACAAACAGTCATATAAACTGCGGTTTCAGGTAAAATTACCACATTCATTTGGCTTTAAATCATAAATAACAATTCAAATCAAGTTATTTATTTTATTTTACTGAAAATTAATATTCTAGAAAGTTCATCAATTACACAATTAACATCACTGTGAATATATTTATCACAGCAACAAGAAAGCTCAGGAACAAACAGACTCGATGCTGAAGAGATCTCTGTGAGTCAGTTTCCATCTGTTAAACCTTTAAAACCAGTTTATTCTACCAGTTTGAAACATGATACACATCCAGGTTTACGCAGGCGTCTGAGTGAGGGGCTAAAATACAAACTCTTCCAGGACAACACAGATCATTTTTCAGGATGTTTGGTTATTTTAATACATTTCCAGGTGTTTTCATGACTGGAAAACTAGTTTCTAAATGTCCAGCTTTTCCAGGTTTTCCAGGGACGAGTGGGAACGCTGACCAGGTTTTAAAAAGGAATAAAAATCTCTTCTCTTACAGTGATTTACTTTTAAGGAGTTTTTAACTGGTTATGAAACCGTTTAATACCTTTATTTGACCCACACAAACATTATTTATGCCACCAGCTCGGATTCCCCTTGAAATCAATGAAACGAGACGATAGAAACACTACCGCTTCTGTCCACAGGGGGCGTCAGAATCAACTCAAAATGAAAGCCCCTTGTTGCTTTAAAGATGAAGAAGAGGTGCGATGCTGAATCTGTGGAAGTTGGGGAACGATTGTAATGATGGTTAACAGAAACCAACTTTAACTGTTGTCAGCGGACAGGAAGCGAACTGATCGTGACTCCGTCTGACGTTTTTGTTGACCCTCCACGACCTCCTCTCTCTGTGGACTTTGATGCTCCATAATAACCTGACCTCCTCCCTTTTCGTCCCCACAGACAAGACTCATAATTACTGCAGGCCTTAGAGAGCTGCGTCACTTGAACATAAACAACTGTTGTTTCTGTTGTTGCTCTCAGTACTTTGTGTCTTCCCTTCCCTCCCTGTGGCTCTCTGCTCTGAGCTCATTGGTTTCTACTGAAGACGTAAATCTTTAAAAACAGCTCATAAATACATAGTTCAACTTTTTAAGAAGGGTTAATCATTTTGTTTCTGTTGTTCTATTCGACAACTAATAATTTACTTAACTTTCTTTGTCCCCTGAATTGTTATTATTCATCCCTCTGGTTTGTTGCTACCTTGAAAGTCGTGATATAGTTCCCAGATTCAAGACTGAACATGTGACCTTTGTGTCCTCAGTTAGTCCGACTCCGCGGGTGATAGAAGATCAATAAACTCCAGGCTCTTCAGGTTGAGTGACTATAAACTGTTCAAAGTAAATCAATAATGCAGATTTTCATGTAAAAGGTGATTTTTATTCTCCGTTCAGCTGATGGGCTGATTTTATTCACTCCATATATATATCCTTTATATAATACAGAATATAAATATACATAGCTATTTTATCTTGTAACACACATTGTTAAGATTATTATATTATACCTGCACTGTGAAATTATATATTAATATATATTTCCTTTAAATTACACTTGCTGCATATTTTTGTCCTGTGCAATTATATTTATTTTTGTCACCTCCTCCTCCTGCTTTCCTTTTATCCATCTATCAAATATGCATATATATTATATGTATATAAAAAATATAATACTACTCATCGTGTGTGTATTATAATAATCTGTACAATGTTCCATCAATCATATAACTCTTTAACTTTTTATTTTATTTCTTTTTAATGTGTATTTTATTATCTGCTGTGTTGTATCTGGAGCTGCTGTAACGAGAGGATTTCCCCAGTGTGGGATCAATAAAGTCTATAAATTCTAATTCAAGATAATAAAGGAAGGGAGATTAACTAAGGCAGCTGATAATTAACCATGTTCTAAATGAATCATTTGTTTGACTAATTCATGATTAAATCTGAGAGACGAGCTTGAGGTTAAATAACAGCGACAGTAAATAAACTGTGTGACACGTTATCACCCAACTGCTTCTCCTCTTCCACATCCTGTAAAACATGCTGATTATCTTCCTGTTCACAGTTTAAAAACAAACACAGTGGTCCTCTTCAGTACGGCGCAGTGATCTGCAGCTAAAGACATTTACTACAGAACAGTTTTGAGGTGATTAACTTCAGTATTTCCATTTTTCCTTTTGCTTTAAACTAAAACAATGATGAGATTTCATAAGTTCATCCAGTGTTTTCTAACTGCAGCTGTATAAAGTGGTATAATCTTAAATAATACTTTACAGTACTTGAGTACTTTGTGTGTGACATTAAAGGCTCTCAGGTGAAACTTTACACCATACATACTGTACATGCTGCAGCAGCCTGACAAAGGTCACACAAAGGCTTCTGCTGTCTGAACGTCTACAAATTACAGAGAACAGAAAATAGATCCTCCACTTAACGTCTCTTTAACTTCTCTCGCAGGACAACAAAATGACACAGAAACTTGCCTTATTTGACCTAAAGCGTGCAGCTGCTCCATAGGTCTGCTCACGTGGCCGCCCACAGACACACTGTATATAACATGAGGTTTCATTTACAGCTCTGGCCGGCGTCCAGGTCGTCCTCAGGAAAATCCCACATCCTGCTGCTGACACGGGGCCAGTAATCGTGCGTTCTGGGGGCCGCGCAGACAATGTGTGTGTGTGTGTGGGGGGTTTGCAGACGCAGATAAAATGAAACAAACAGACGAGCTCCAGAGCTCCATTAAACGGAGACGACAGCAGCTGTAGCTTTGTCGAGATGCAGCGTTCCTGTTAACAGTGAAGGTTGATGTTTGTGCTGCAGCTTTATCGGCTGCTGAAATGTTCTTTCAAACTTTCTTGTTGCTGTTTTTGTATCCTGAGATAAGACGAAAACAACATGTCATTAAAGTCCAGGTGGAGGGGAAAATGTCACTTTAACCCTTTAAGATCACAGCCTCAGTTATATTGTTCACATGTTAAACAATGTATGACCAAATGTACACAGCTCTTTGTATTTTTATATCAGAATCCAATCATTGTGTCTTCCTGTAAAACACAATGTGACACTAACTGATTTCAACCAATAATAGTCAGGATATTATTGGTTGAAATCAGTTATTCATGCTGACGTAAGCACGTGTCACATTGTGTTTTACAGGAAGACACAATGATTGGATTCTGATGTTAAATACAAGGTTTTGTGAATGTTTTTGTCGTACATTGTTAAATAGTGAACAATATAACTGATCTTAAAGAACCTAAATACATTTTTGGATTTTACCCTGACTCTAAAGTAT